CCCTGTGTATGTTGGGAGGAAGGTAAGTGTGGAGAGTACAAAGTTGGAGCTGAGGGATCTGGGGCTTTTGGGGCGTTCTCTGTACTCAAGGCGTCTGACCAGAAATTTAGAGCTGATATGAAGGGTGGATCTTTTCACAGAACCAAAATTCAATTGTCTCTTCTAAACCTTGTCTTATCTTTTGGACTTTGTGCGGGGAGAGGGAAGGTGGTGGCTGATAGCCCTTCAGGCTGAAATCCTCTCAGGTGCATTTTGCATTGCTCTTGTGCCTCTGCCTTGAACCAGGAGCACCCAAGGAGAAACCTGGTCCCTTTTTAACACATCCTGTGATGATGGGCTCTATGCGACAGTGGCTGGACCCTGAGCATCACACTTCGGCTTGCATAAGTCACTCGTGTGTTTTGATGCTGACCTGCTGCCCCAAACTGCATGATCCTGTTGTGTGTCTGTGCTGATAAAGAGGCCTTGAGAGGGGAAAAAATGGCATGTCAGAACTGTATTTGTAGCTACTGCTTTTTCTTAAACACAGACCCACCTGCTAGATCTGATCTGTGAGGAGAGCTGTGGTCAAGACGGTCCTTTCAGGGCTAATGCAGCTGACAAGGCTGTAAAATCACAAGCTTATTAATGTCTTCTGCTGGTGTTTGCTCGTGGGCAGGCTCTGTTCTCACCTGGTGCTTCTCCTTCCGTCAGATCCACAGCAGGTATGAGGGAAAGAAAACCTCTAAGCACAAGAGGAACTTGGCCATTACTGGTGGGGTCACCTTGTCTGTCATTGCCTCTCCAGTCATCGCTGCTGTCAGTGTTGGTAAGTGGGCACAGTCCCTTTCCCTTCTGGTGGGCCAGTAGTCACCGAGACGAGTGGGTAGCCCAGCCCTGTGAGATGGGGGGGGGCCAAAGGGCAGTTTGCGGACTGCTGCTGTGTTTTCTTCTGGGCACATCCCTCCGTTTCACATCCAGGCTGCACGTCCTCATGTGCTTGAGTTGGCCTGGAGCCAGCACGGGGCTTGTCTGGAGCACCAGTTGCCTGTGCCCCAGCCCATAGTGGAGTCCCTTGACACACGGAGCTGTCTCTTACCCGAGGACTGGTTTGGTGGCTGATGTATTGGGGGTTCAGCTGAGGCTGTCTGCGCTATTGGGGTTCCCTCATTCTGCGCTGCAGCAGCACAAACGAAGGGCTCCTCCGCTGTCTGTCTGCAAAGCTGTGAACTAGGACCTTTAAAAGCAGTGTAAACACAACCGAAGGAGTCCCTGCCGAGTCCTTTCTGTCTGCCCAACACAGCTCAGCCTTAAGCTCCCCTTAACTCAGCGCATCCTGCTCTCCAGGTATTGGAGTCCCCATCATGCTGGCTTATGTCTATGGTGTTGTGCCGATCTCGCTGTGCCGAGGCGGTGGCTGCGGAGTTAGCACCGCCAATGGAAAGGGTGTGAAAATCGAGTTTGATGAAGATGATGGACCAATCACAGGTAATGTGATAACTGGTGAAAGGAAGGGGGTGAAGCAAGACCCTCTTGTAATGAAATGGTAGGGGGTCTTGACATTTCCCAACTCTGAACATCTGTCTTTACCTGGGTTTGGCTAGAAGCAGTTATTTGCTTCAGTCTTCTGGTGATCAGCTGTGTAGCGCTCAAAGCAAAGTCTCAGCTCTTCCTTGCCCTGGACGAGGCAGGGAGGCAGTCTGAGACGAGGCACATGCTGCCTGCTGTCTGACCCCCAGCTCTGCCAGCGCCATCCCAGCCCGACGGTTCCCTTGCTGATTCCGATTCCTGTGCTCTTCTTCCCCGCAGTGGCTGATGCCTGGCGAGCCCTGAAGAACCCCAGCATTGGCGAAAGCAGCATTGAGGGGCTGACCAGTGTGCTGAGCACCAGCGGCAGCCCCACCGATGGGCTCAGCGTGATGCAGGGCAACTACAGCGAGACGGCCAGCTTCGCCGCCCTCTCAGGCGGTACCCTGAGTGGTGGTGTCCTCTCGGGAGGCAAGGGGAAGTACAGCAGGTAACTGAACCGATGGGCACAGCAAGAAAGGGGTGGAGGCTCCCAAGGCCTGCGTTGGTTGAGCAGGCTTATTTGGGGAGCCCTCCAGGACTGTGAGCGGTCCTTCTTTGACTTGGGAGTCACGTCCTAGTATTTTTACTTCTTGGTCTGTTGTAGAATAACCAGTCCCAGCAGAACCAGGCTACTTCTGGAGTCAGTGCTAGGCTGGTTCTTGCAAGGAGGACAAAAGATAAACAAGTTTCTGTCCCTACTGAGCTCCTTGAAACTGCAGAGCTGATGCTTCAGGTTAATTGGGAACAGTGCAGAGATGCCTGCGTGGCCTGCTTAAAGATCTTCCAGTCCTCTGATCTCAGCCTAGAGGCTTTGATGCTTCCTGTTCTCCAGTGGCCTATAGCAAGCAGGGTCACTGCTTTCCAAGTCAGGAGGTTACACCACAGTTTTCCTCTGAACCTGCCTGTGAGCCAGTTTGCTGGGTAATTGGAGACACGTGTTGATACGGCAGCCAGGGTATAATCATGGCTGTGTGCTAGATCTGTTGAAATCAGTTCTTCGCAGGAATTGAGTGAGTCACAGATATAACACACAACTTCAACCTTCATCATGGAAAACAGAATGGGTTTACCTAAATGGAGCCAAAAATGAGACTAAATGAGAGGAACCATTGGGGTTAAACTCTGTCATGCTGAGCTGGGCCAGCACAGAGGGCCTCTTGCTTTTTCCCATGATGAACAGCAACTGTTTGGTGCCCCTCTGGGACCATCTAAGGCATTGCTGAGGAATCCTCTTCTTTCCTGCAGGCTGGAAGTTCAGGCAGATGTCCAGAAGGAGATTTTCCCCAAAGACTCGGTCAGCTTGGGGGCTATCAGTGACAACGCCAGCACTCGAGCCATGGCTGGTTCCATCATCAGCTCCTACAACCCCCAGGACAGGTAGGAGGACATGTGATGGTGAGAAGGAGTGTTGGTAGTGGGTGTCCTGGAAAAATCTGTGCTCTGCGAGGTGCTGCTGTGGGTGGCGAGATGACTGTAGTTGCACCAGCCCGCTCTTCTGTAGCTGGCAAGTGGATCGATCCTTTTACTTGCACAGAATGGCAACTGGGGACAATTTGGGAGCGACTTTCATGTATAATGTAGAGGCTGAGGAGGGGATCTGCAGCCCAGCGCTCTCAAGCTCTGTTCCTGGCGGCTCGCAGGGGCTCTGATGCTTTCCCAGTTCAGCTCCTGGCTCACAGCCTGGGGATGATCTTGGCTGCTGTTAGGAGGGACTCAAGCAGAGCAGCGAGTGGTGGTGGTTCCCAGATGCCGTGGGGTGATGAGCAGCATCTTGCTCATGTTTGGGAAACGTGATCCTCCCGGTACAGTGATGCAGTGCCCGGTGGTGACCCAGTCGAACCCAGTAACGCAAGGGTGCTTGGC